AAAAAAAAGGGGGGGGGGGGACCTTTAAAAATAGAAAATAATGCAGCATCCACATTCAAGGACTGGTAAGCAGTAATATATTAATCTTTGTTGTTTCTGGGCATACACTGTACCTTCACTAGCTGTCTGCCAAAACAGAACATGATAACCATTCAAATAAAATGTTTAAAGCATATCTAAACCAAAAAATACAAAGGTGTAATACATTGCAGCCAACCAGTGCTTAGATGAGATGGCTGCATTTGTTTTCTTTTTGGGGCTTTTCTCCCTTGATTTTCACCTTGTAATCCTGTGATTAACACACTTCCTGTCCCTGGACTTCAGACATGTCTGCCTTTGTTCATCTGCCTTACATGGCGGAAGGGGAGATTAAGCCCTCATTCACACTGGAATCTGCCTGCACGTACAGCTCCGTGCTGTGTGCAGGGCCGTATCGGGCAGCTCCCGGGAAGGACAGGTGCTGCGTGTGATTAGTACACAGCCCCTGTCCTTCTCTATGGGACTACACGTCCATACGCCCCCCTACGCTCACCCGCCCTGCACGTTCATAGGGGTGCGGAGGAGCATACACTGACGGGATGGATCCTGCACTTGAGGGGCGTAGTCCCATAGAGAAGGACGGGGGCTGCGTACTAATCACGCGCAGCACCTGTTCTTCCCGGGAGCTGAGCGATATGGCCGTGCACGGAGCTGTACGTGCCGGCCGATTCCTGTGTGAATGAGGGCAAAAAGATCAACAAATGTTTTTAGTGCTTGCTGAAAATGCCTTAAAAAGAGAACCAATGCAGCCATCACATTCACATCAATACATTACATTTTTGCTCTGGGTTTATTTATATATATATAATTATTATTTTTTAAATGTTATCCCGCACAATTGTTTAAACCATTTTCCTTATACTTTGGTGATCAGAAGATACCAGTAAGGCCCCTTTTACACAAGCAGTCCGATCGGGTCCACCTGTAAGTTTAAGTGGACCCAATTGGATGCCCAATGCTAGTCTATAGGCAGCCGGTTGTCAACAGGCGTGCGTCCGTTTATACCAGGTTATCCCCCGACTCTGGCCAGCTCCAAAAGAACAAACGGAACAGAGTTCTGTTTTGCCAGACCTGATTGTGCTGGATAAGGGATAATCTGATGTAAACAGACATAATCTCCATTAACATGCGACTCCCTATAGACCGACATGGGGCCCAGCAGCTTTAGTTCTTTCCTCCATCGCAAGATGGAGGAAACAAAACTGGATGGGCACGGATGTCATGGTAGTGACATCCAATCTGTTCTGCTCCAATTAGGAGGGAATGTGTGCACAGATCCTCTCCTAATCAGCCCATGTGAAAGGAGCCTAAGACTTTGCTGGAGGTCAGGTTTCTCTCCAAACTAACAGGGTTATTCACAAAAGGGTGAAGAGTTTGGAGAACGCAGAAGAAGTAAACAATCTAGGCCAAAACAGCTGAGTTGGATAGTGAGCTGAATTGGAGAATGTTTCCAAATCCGCTATTTTGGCCTAGATTGTTCCCTTCTCCTGCCTTCTCCAAACTCTTCACCCTTTTGTGAATAACCCTGTAATTGTCTGCTTCCTGGGAAGAATCATTTTCCTATCTCCTGTGTAGTAGTTTATATACAGAACAAAGATAACAATTGCCATCCCTTTTAACTGCCTCCGGGCCGGCCGTAGTAAAAAAACGGCCGGCCAGGAGCTCTCTAGATCTGAGCGGGCGTCTCTAGACGTCCGCTCAGACAACAGTGACTTTACTTCCATGTTCGTTTTAAAAACTTTAATACTTTTTCATTTTTCAGCAACAAGTGGACGATGGAGTTCCTTTAAAGATTTGTTTATCCCAGTTTTCCAACTGGATTCAAAAACTCCAGAATGAGAGAGGCATCATTTTTCCCAATGTCCTCCCAAACCAGTCATCCTCCGAGCAGAAGATGTGTGCATTTGTCACATGGTCAGGTAGGGAACAGCTCTAGTTGACAAGTGTCATGCTACTGATTTCATACCAAAGTTACTTAATGCTTATCTCTAGTTAAAAAAGAATACAAGCAGATAACCCTTGCAGTGCATGGGTAGGCTATATGCAGCACTTTGATGTCACCATCTGGGTTTGCAAAGGCATCCCTGTATATACATTAATTGATGTGCTTCTGTAATGCAGTTTATGGTATGCGGTTCTTATTTGATGAGCTGCTAATTTTATTTATTTTTAGATTGGGATCTGGGAGTTTGTTTACTTTATGAATGCAAGAGGAAACAGTTGAGAAAACCAGAAATTCTGAACTCATGGATTGACCTCAGGCTAACTTACAAGGTGAGCTGACCTAGCTTTAAGACAAACTTTGTGTCTTTAATTTACCTAAAACTAACCTTTCCACAAGGTTCACAACATACTGTTCTAAAACAAATAATTGTTGCTTGCTGTGTCTGTAAGCAAACACTGTGGTATTGGGAAATAATTGACACGTTTATTCTCTTCAAAATATCTAATTTTATATTCTCCTGTTTTAGCTATTCTATAATCGCAAACCAAAAGGGCTAAATGGAGCTTTACAGGATGTCGGAATCGAATTTTCTGGAAGAGAACATTCAGGTACAGATATTTCTTAATGATATTGTGTTTCCATAATCGGCTATCCCACAATCACAATCAGCTTAAAGAAAACTATGATATTCCTCTTGATATCCCATCAAAGAGAACCTGTGGTTTGTGCATTGTAAGCTCTTTATTGCTTCTTCTGCTCTCAATCTGCAGATAGCAGTACAAATGCATTTACTTAGTTTTCAGTTTTGCTTTAACTTTTTTCTTACCTCTTACCACATTGGCTGATTTTTTTTCTATTGGTTAACCTCTATTTGGTTGGTCAGTAGGAAAAAAGATCGTCAGCTGGGAAAGCTATTATTCAAGACTGCTAGAAAACGGTGATGGGAGAAATGGAGCAATAGGGTGATTACAACAGCCTCTATGAAAAGGTACTGCTAGATGGGACAGCATGGTTTACTTTAAAGGGTAAGATCACTTTCCTAAGTGAAAGTGAATTCGGGAAAATGGAATTACCTGGCCCTCTGCCCCTCCCCCCGCTTAGCTCACCTTTCGGCAAATGAGAAGTGCTTCTCATTGGTCAGTGTGCTCAGATGACATGTTGTCAGCCCTGTCTTAGTTTGTTTAGTTTGACTTCTTTTTGGTGGACTACAGTTTACTTTCCCCTCTCCACATCTTGATAACACAGGGGAAGAGGTGTTGTGTAGTCTACTGGGCAGGACTGGTAACATTGCTTGGGATTTTAGTGAGGCACCGAAGGCTGGGAACTTACTAGATTTCTGGCAGGATGAAAAGGTATTTTTCTGTACTTTGAAAGGGATACAGCATGGGAAAATATATTTGCATTTTTTTAGTTTTGTTTTTCTTGTTACTGGTTACTGTAAACTTGTCTTCTAGGTCTGGATGATTCCCGAAACACAGCAAGACTTGCATGGAGAATGATTTGTGATGGATGTGTAATGAAAATAACCAAATCCTTAGATAAGGTTAGTTGGTTTTTTAGGTCTCCATTTTTCCTCCAGTCCATTCAGCATGACATTTAGAGCAATGTAGATAACCAGACAAACTATTGGTACTTAAAACCAGAATTCAAAGAAACACGTTCTCAGACTTGTTATTGTGCTGATCCATTTTGAAAAGTTCTGGGTTTTGTTTGTGAAATTAGGTACGGCTATCTTCAGAGCAAACAAGGATGGTTTTGCCTGGGCAAACTAATGGAACTAGACAAGGAGATGGCAATCAGGTTTCAAAGATGACTGTGAGCAAAGATGACAAGCAAGATCTTAATAGAAATCCAGCGTGTACACATTCAGATGCCACCAGTGAAGTCAAATTTACTCCTAACAAAATAACCAATAAAATTGGTGTCCAAGAACAAGATGGGACATTGGCTATAACATGTGTCAATGTAGAGCCACCAAAGAATCTACTCAATGGACTCTCAACTACTATACTTGGCTATGGAAATAAATACAGGTACTCAAACCAAAATTCTCTTGGCTCTTTGCAAAATAGAAGACAAACTGGCACTTTAACATCTACACCTGCAAACCACGCACCCCAGTTTCCCAGTCATGTGTTATTCTCTACCACTATCATGTCTGTGAATGATGTCTCAGGTCTGGAAGTAGACTCCAGTTCAGATTTGTCTATTTTGGCTGACTGGGAAGAAGCGGCTGTAATAGCCGATTCCCAGGAAGAACAAAGTGTCAGCTCTGCCAAGGATAAAGAATCGCTTCTGTTACCAGTTGATTCACTTTCAGCTGGTGTTTTAAGACTTCAAAACTATCAGGAGAAACCCAACATACAGCCTCGTACTGGTATTCCATGTCATCCATCCACACTGGACTCTAAATCAGTTGTCTACAAAAGTCCAGACACCACAATTTATAATGTCTATATGAAGAAGCAAGTGTCTAATAGCTCTACCTTTAAACTTCCCACTGCTCTGAGCAACAAACCTGGTGTGACTCCTCAAACTGCCAAGCAGTCGAGTAAAACCTCTTCGGTATTGGATTACTTTCCAAAGAGAAAACTTTCTAGTGTCAGCTTCTCTTCACCACCAAAGAAACTGCCCTTTATAATCCATGAAGATCAGAGAAACCAGATGCTGCCATTCAGTGGTCCTCCTCGGAAAGTGACTCGCAGCATTTTAAATTCCACTGTGAACTTAAGTAGCAACAATAGGCCAGCAAAAATTGCCCGTATTACTGCCCCAATGTGCAACTGTGGCCGAAGGGCAAAGAAACTTACTGTGTCTAATGGAGGCCCAAATCAAGGTAGGGTCTTCTACAGCTGTGCCATACGAAAAAGAGACGATCATGAGAAAGGCTGTAGCTATTTTAAATGGGAAGATACGCTTCTTAATGAGAAGTCTCTAAATTCACCTTCCATTTTATCCACCAGTGGTATATCATTTACTTCAAATACAAGTTTAGCTCCTTCCGCATGTTCTGAGCCTCCCAAAACATTTAAACTAAGACCATCATTGAGAACATAGTTTGTAAAAAATGTTTAAGGACACGCTGCTAGTTTCTTTTTATACAGAATAATGTTGAACTTGTGATTTTACAATTTTAAATGTTTATTTATTTAAGTGAGCTATAGGCTTTTTAAACCTTGAAAGCAGCAACACTATACATGTTTTTTTGTCCTATTTAAAATATGTAAACCCAGTATTTGACCAGTACCTCCTGATGTAGGTCACAGTTTATCTAGTTCTCACAAAATCCTTTGTTTCTACATAAAAATAAAAAAAACACTCTGATCTGTTTTATATATGACAAAAATAGCCCCTGATATACCGCTACCTCATATTAGGAAGCCTGAAATGTAGAGGAATCTATATAAGAAACATTGTCCAAAAGTATAACAACATCTCGCACCTAGAAACTATAGCTCACATGGCACTCCAACCCTAGGACGCGTGCTGGAGCTGCGGCAGCAGTATACTGGAGTGCCAAGCGGTCTTTAGGGAGAGTTAAAGTGACACTAAACTCAGGAGTTAAATCCTGAAAGTACATTCTAGTATCTTTAACTATTAACAATGCAGTACCCTATCTGTGACACAAACTCAGGAGCTACATCTTAAAAATACATTCAAGTACCTTCACTATACAAAATTTATCTTATTTGTGTATCGCTCAGCTGTAGATCCTCAAGTCATCTCTGAATTTGTGCTGACACTGTCCTTCCTTCTGGAGGGTGACTACTTTTGTTCCCCATGGTCCCTGTGTGTTATAAAGTAGCCACCACTCCCGCGAATAGACTACAATCTTACACTTAGTTTACTCATTTGTATTGAGATTGTAATCCATCATGGGAGTGAGTTTGGAGCGTTAGCAACTTTATAACATACACAGGGACCATGGGGAACAAAAGTAGCCACCCTCCAGAAGGAAGGACAGTGTCAGCACCAATTCAGAGATGATTTGTTTAAGATTATTGAAGATCTTCAGCTGAGTGATGCACAAGTAAGCTACAGTTTTTTGTTACTTTGATAGGACACTGCTGAATTTAAGGCTCATGTAGCAAAGCTGTTGTGGGTCATGTGGCCCTAAAGGCAGAGTGATACAGGGCCTGCTTTTTTTTAAAATTAATGACCGATAACATTTTTACAATTTTGAACAAGCCAACATTGTGCTTCTGTCCATCCTCCCTTTTTTTTTTTTTTAAGCTGACAAATTTAGGCATACAAAGCCTTGATGGCATGCAGAAAGGATTAACCCACTGCACTGCCTAATTGAATAACCCTGATAATTCTGTTAAAGCTCCTTTTTAGCAGTCTGTTGCATCTAATTTAAAACCTAATATTTTCCAATTACCATGAAATAATGGAAGCATGCTTCCCGCTCATGAAAAGGAGTTAAGAGGAAAAATAAAGATTCTTGTTTTTTGTTTTTTTTTAAAGTAACCATGTTCTGTACGTGTTAATGTATATCTTTTTATTTTCCACATCACAGCAGGTTTAGTTATTGAAAGAACTTACAGGGTGTCAAATTTTGTTACTGTCTTTTAAATACATGGAATCAATGTTTGTGTTTTTTTAACACATGAAATATCTGTATAATTGAGATGTTTTTTCTTTACCTACATAGTAGACATTTTATACATTGTTTAAAAAAAAATAAAAAAAAATATTTTTCTACCTTTTTTTATTAAACGAGTGGTTAATCTAAAAATGTATGTGATTAAATTATAACTTAAAACTTCTTGCGGCCGTAGGGCCTGTTCACATGATATCAGGTCCGGATCTGCAGACGTGGTGCTACTGATGCAGTGCGTTTTGGCCGCGTTTTTGATGCGTTCCAGTTAAAAAAAAAAAAAGTTTGTTTTTTGCTGGAGTGGGGCTTTCAGTATGTTAGCTGCAGTGCATTTTCGGACCGTTTCCGGACCGTACAAAACGTGACATGCAGTATTTTTTCTGTCGTAAGCTGAACGGACTGCGCACGGGAGAACTGTAGCCCATAAAACACATAGGGATACATTGGAATGCATTTTTAGTGCAGGAGTGTACGGATCAGGTCAGCACAGAAAACGGACGTCGTGTGTCCTTCAGGAGAAGGACATGAAGTCATCCACCCCTGACCTCTCCTTCTGAAAATGAGTTGCCTAGCTGTCTTAATGACACTCTCTTGCTTCAGTACTTTGAATCAATGATCTGAAACAAACATAACTTCTGACCTTTTTCTGGTCTGCATTGTTGTCAGGTCAGTAATTCAAAGTACTAAAGTGTATCTCTATGTTTATTCTTTAGTTTTAATAGAGTAGGGAACACCTCTATGGGATTTTTTTTTTTTTTTTTTTACCAATTCATACTCTTTCCAAATCTTTAAACATCTACGACTGAAAATGCTAGTTGCCTGGCGTCTGAGGCACTGACCTGGATTTGGTTCTGATGTAGCCTGAGTCATTGGGCTGGAATAAGCCGACAGGTTACAAAATCAAAATATTGAAACCAGAGTCATGCAGCTTTTATGCTTAGGAGGTCAGCAAAGGCAGCTTCTATATTTCTCTCACAAGTTTCCTTTAAAGCCATTTGACCATTTTATTGAAACTACAATTGTTTTTAGGAAAATACAGAAATAATTTGCTATAATAGAAATTAACTTGCAAAAAGTTTATTTTTGAATTACCCTTCATTTTAGATATTGGCCCAGACAGAAGACTACGCAACAACATAGACCATTAGTTCAGAAGCATTACTTTGGTGGACCGCTCCTTGATATCATGATTGATATATTATAATTTTTTTTACATGCACAATATCTGCATTGGTATTAGTGGTGAGGTACTATTTCAGGAACATCACCCACAAAGCAACAGAACAGTTCTTTTAAAACAGAACTAGTACATTAGGGTCATTTCAGTAACATGGATAAGTTACTTTTATTTTTTATTTCCATTGTGAAATACATTCACACATCTGTGTTTTGGTGCAATGTGTTAAAAATCTAGCACTGAAACTGCACCTTATGAAAACAAGCTGAAAACTTAGTCTTAATAACACTTGAAGGGAGTAGCCAAAAAATAGCTCCCTGCAGAAGAAAATTATAATCATCTTCAGCGTATGGAGACTCTTATCTTTGCTCTCTTGAAGAGCAATGGTGGCTGACGAATCTTCAGCTTTTAACACCCTTCCAAATGTAATGGATGCCTGTGCTCTGATTTTCATCTGCTGGCCTCCAAATCACTACTGTATCATGTAGCTTCATCTGTTCTCCTCCATACTCACTTCACCGGAACAGTTGGCAGCCAGAAGTTTGAGGAGCAATACCCTATGTAATATACTTTGTGAATTGACTTTAACAACCAAAAGACAATGTGTGTGCAGTGAATTTGCCTAATTGGTGTGGTAATGAATTAGATGAAAAAAATGCAAATCTATTTGCTGCTCACATTTAAGCCGATCGTTTTGTAAATGTGATTATCCGTTCTTAGGCTTTTCCCCATTCTTTGTTTCTCAGCTCATTTCTGCGGATCTTCCCACTGACTGTTTTTGGCAGTTGTTGAACAAATTCAATCTGTCATTATTCACAAAGAGAAATAAAGCAGTTAATAATAATTTTTAAAAAAACACAGTATAAATATTTAAGTTAAAAAAACTAGCCTCATACATGTCCTTCATGTTACATATTTAACATTGGTAGGGATAAAATAGAAATACCATGGTTGGATCCCTCAATTCACTCAATACCATGCCAGGATCTCCCAATGCTCTCCTAATACCATTTCTGTATCCTTTAATGCACTTCCTGTATCAAAGATGTCTGGGTTTCTCACTGCCTGGATAACAATGTATTCAAACAAGAAAAACATTATTTGGGGCTTGTTCACACCTAAGCGCAACGTTAATAGGATGAGGCCGTGCAATTAACTAATGCTATTGCATAGTGCAACTAGCATGCATTACTGTTCTAGGTGTGTTGTGTTGCCATTCATTGAAATGGCACCCTACTGCACTTCCTGGCTGCTGTGCGGTACCAGAATATGGTTAGGTGTGGTCGGGCCCTAAAGGTATGGAACCTTTACACCCGTCAAATAAAAATTTCTGCTCAGATTTTAGCTTTAGGCTGCCATTCACTGCTCTATTTTTCTCGTTCAACCCGCGGGCTGAACAAAATAAATAGAGCATATTTCTCCATCAACCCTACGAGTGTGTCGATCAAAGAATCCCCTGTATTGTATTCTGACAGTAGCAAGATACAAACATTTTCCAGGTGGCTCCTATGATAAGCTGATCAAGGGATGCCGACCGAAAGGGTGCCCACAGTGTATGGGTCCTGCACGTGCACCCTTGTAACACTCCTAATACCTGGATCCCTCAATGCATTGTCAGACTATGGCACGTGCAGGACTTTTATATAAGAACACTGCAATCATCCTATTACTATGTTTCTTATGCTGTAAAGTCTCTTATGGAGAAAGATGTCAAATCAAGTTTAAATTAACCTGTAATGAATTCAAACTTTTAAATGGGTGCCTAGCTTGGTATAGTTTTGTTCTAATGTTTTAGAAATTAACATAATAAGGAGAACTCTTATTTAAAGCTGGATTCCAGCCCCACAGTAAAACAAAGAAGTGGGTAATGATGAATATGAATTGTTTTAAATATTACTCTAAATGTCACTCTTTACCCTGCTTTGTCACCACCTAATGAACAAACTAACAACTTTCAATCACTACCATGTTGAAGGTTACTATGCATGTTCAAGGTGTTAGATATTCACTTTAGCATGTGCTTCCTCTGTTATTAAAAAGTGAGTCACTTATAAGCAAAGGGTAGGGAGCTTGCATTGCTGCATTTATTAAAGGGGTTGGGGTTGGGGTTGGGGACTAGACTAAGTGGTGAATAGGTGAAATACAGCTGACAAGTGGTCCTCAGGTTGGAGCTGCTGCAGAAAGAGCCCCTATTTTTAAAAAACAGTTACTGTGATTTCTCAGCACATGCAAATAACACTATCCATTCCATGTAAGATGGGAAACGATCATTATAGGCAGTGTGTTTGGAGCACATCTTTTATTATAAATCTTTAGATTACTCTTATATAGAATATTCCAGTACCCTGAATAAAATGTAATATATCAGCATATTGTCAGTGCACCAAAAGCAGGTAAAATTGTACAGCCAGATCTTGCAATATTCCTGTGTACCTGTGAGGGTTGATTGATACAGCACCTCCTGTTGCATTCTTTATAGTATAAAATAAAGCTACAAAAAGAAACACAGATCTAACCTATAGAGTCCCTGAGAGATATAGGAAGTGGTCAGAAGGTTTACCAATCCAGCATTTAAATATCAGTTTTGGGTGGACTTACCCTTTAAAATGTGTATACGTTACCTTTCTTGGATACTTGTAGGGGGCCGTCGCTTTCTTGACATGTTCCTGTAATTCTGATGTCAGTTTGTCTGCGTCCTGACCACTGTATGTTGGTGAAAGGACAACAAAGGCCTTCACAACCTGTTGGATAAACATAGATGTAGAAGTAATTGTGATCTCTTTCAATGCACAAAATGTTTTGTTGTCTAAAGACAAATCAGATCTGTTGATGTAGCAAGAGTGTAAATTAAAAGTAATATAACTCCTGAAAATAGCCTCAGTATATGTATACCTAGAGGGATGAGAGGCAGGAAAGTGACTCCTAATCATAGCCTCAGCGCTGTTTGGTTACATAAACTGGGGCAGTACTTGGAAGCACCAGCACACAGCTTCAGCACCATCAACTACCTCTAACGAAGCAGTCAGAGGAGGGCAGCCTGACGGAGAAAAATCGGCACACTCAGAAGAATTTTGTTCTTTCCCATCTGCCTCTCACTTTGCAATTAGTTAATAAAAATCATTACCAGGAGGCCAATAGTGTTTACAAACAAAGAACTATTATATTTGCAAACAATATATTTGGGAAAGGGTCTCTAAGCAATAAACCTGCACATTTAGTCAGTCCAAGTGCTCTGTTCTGTTCAAAGGCAGATTGGACAGATCTGTTTTATTGAGAGAGAATTATTGTCATTGTCAACCTTCCTTCTGTTGTTTTTTAAGATGTGATGGGATGAAAGTTTTTGTGCCTGGAGTTCAGGTTTAAATCCAGGACTGTAGTGGAATTTTAAAGCAAACCATTGCTTTGCCCTCCCCAGCAGTACATAGTTACCTTTTGCTCTTGCTCACACACTGTTCTGTTCAGTTAAAAATACCCAGTACATTTGTGCATGGATCCACATGTGGCACATTAAGTTAAACAGCACTGGTCTGATCACCAAGTACCAGTGCTGTCACATGGGGAGACTCCATATACCAATATAAGCTACAACTTGTAGTTTATACAGGGCATCTTCTCCTGTTCATTGCAACTGAATGAAGTAGCAGGGGAGCAAAGATGAGGATGTGCTGATAGGGGGACTAAAGTGCTCTTTTGCTTTGCCCTGCATACACATAGCACAGGTTCACTTTAAGCTTCTGTAAATGTTTGCAGGTTCAGTTAATTATAAACGGTCAATTTTATTATTGGTATTCTGTGGAAGTATTCACATATACCTCTCCTCTGATTGGGTCTGGGCTGCTGACCACTGCGGATTCAGCAACAGCAGGGTGTTCTATCAAAGCGCTTTCTATTTCGAATGGCCCAATACGATACCTAAATAACAGAAATAAGAATGATAAAATCCTAATCTCACTCAGAGTTGTTATCTCCATCAATAAAAAAAACAACAGACCATGTCCCTCTCGAACCAAAACTTTAAAAAAAAGTTTTGCTTTGAATTACAATTTAAGTCCCACAGTTTATAATGGACAAAATAATTTTGGAAAATATTATCAACATCATTTTTTATTTATTTGAAAAATATATTTACCCAGAGGACAAGATAACATCATCAGATCGCCCAACAAACCAGAAATATCCATCTTCATCTTTAATGCCTCTGTCTCCAGTAAGGTAAAAGTCTCCCCTTCGCGTTGAATCGGTTTTTTCAGGGTCACCCTATTGACATTGAACATCTTAACGTATAGCTTTTGTATATATGATATTAATACTATTTATGAAGCTCCAATCTACGGCATTGTTCCAATGTTCATAGAAAACATTTCAAATTATTATTATTTTTTTAAATACAGAACTATGAATGCAATGCTGCTGATCAGCCTTCTTACCGTGTATTGCGAAAAGAGACAAAAGGGTTTTTGGGGTGATATCCGAATTCCAATATCGCCTTCTTGATTTAAGGGAAGAATATTGCCACCACCATCAACAATCTAAAATAATACAGTTCCAAAGACAGTTATTGCATTTTAAGCTTCTCCCAAATGTGACACTGCTTTTGAGAAGTGTCTTCCAGGAAAAGCTAATAACGTGAAACACAGTTTGTTTACTTGGTGCTGAGAGTATCACAGTGGTTACAACGTTTCTGCCTACACCCAAAAAGCATGGCTTCTAGATGAGATCATGTAATGGGACATGGAAACTGCTGTCTTAGCATCCAACCCAAGTTACATGAGTAAAAGTATAAAGGGTATGGAAAAATTAAGGTTGTTGCTACATACCCTATAGTTGAAAGTTTCAATTTTAGTGGACGCATAAATGACAAGATCCCCATTCATTCCGATTTGTACTCCTTCAGAGTATGGACTTTCTATTTGAATGATTTGAGAACAGAATTCACAGCCATAAAAAGAGCAGAACCTGGCAGTGTAAATGTTGAAGAAAAAGCTGTATGATGTTGAATAGGCCTCACTAAATCAGGAAAGCAGGTGTAATAAAATAGACAATTAGTTGCGCTAGGAAAGATGTAAATGGTCACCAGCTGCAACAATGTATGTTAAACCTTAGACGATGGAGCTGATAAGTTGCGCTTGGTGTTTGCTAATCTACTGAGTATTAAACCACCTTGTGTATGTGATTAAACTGTGTACTGATTTGTTTTCCTTAAGTGATAAAACAATAGTGATTGTTGTATTATAATTAATAAACGACCATAAGCCCTTAATAATGAATTGGTGATTTCTTATGTCGACTTGCGTGTACACTTGCTTAGTGTATAGTGTATCAGTGAGTATATGAAGATGTTTATTCCACTACATCACAAATAAAATAAAATTGTATATACAAAATGTGTGGTTGTCCTTTTAGTATGAATTATCTGAAAGCCCGTGTATGAACGTGAGCCAGTGGATCACACAAACACTTAGGTTGATAAATCCACTGTTGTGTTTGAAACTTCAAACTGTCTAAAATAACACTGTGGTATGTGACTGACTCATAACTATGCCAACTCTGGCGTGATCTACAATTTCATGAACTTGTACCCGTGTAACAATGTATGGGGTGGGACACTGCAGGGGGCCAATCCTAGCACATCTCCAACATACTGGATATACTAATCTCAATACCAAATTGTATGAACGGAGTCGGTGCTCCTGAGCCTCCCCTGATCCAATTAGTAATCACAACTACTCGACATAAATCAAACAGAAAATCGGAACAACAAAAGTTAAGCACATATAAGTCCTCGCATAAGATCAAATCTTATGAGAATGAAAGTCAGTCCCAACTGTCTAATGTTTCACTTCAACTTTTAAGTGATGATATGTGGGCGATGTTGGTATTTACCTGTCCTCTTGTATTACAGTTAGAAATCCGTAGTCCAAGATCTGAGTTAGTTATCAAAGGAATTCATTCACCAGTCGTTTGAAGTTATGGTGTAGCATCCATTCCTTCCCGTTCTATCTGAAAAGCTAGGTTGGACGCTAATGATTCGTTCCCCTCCGGTTAACCATTCTCACACTGCATATGAAGTTCTAAGAAGTTTTTTTTCCCCCTTTTTTCTGCCCTCTTTCCTAGTATTGAAAATCCCGGCGGATGGGATGGATACTGCTGCATATGCGGTGTGAGAATGGTTAACCGGAGGGGAACGAATCATTAGCGTGCAACCTAGCTTTTCAGATAGAACGGGAAGGAAATTAGCCCCCTTAGAGAGCAGTCTGCTGGCAGTGGACAGGCTTTTCTATTCAAGCTGTGGCTGATTTCTAAAGAAATACCTTGCACAACATTGTTTTGATGCACCTGGAATGTGCTTAGCTGATTAAAACTGAAAGTTAAATTGGGCTTTAATTTAGTATCACACAAATAGTAGTATCCGAACACGATTTAAGTCTCAGATGCATGGCACCCATGGTTATGTAGTCCTAAAACATCAGAACACAATATTTTCTTTCAGTGAGTACCTGAACTTCATAAGCTGGTGAAGGCTTCCCCATAGATCCCGGTTTTATTTTCATTCCTTTGAATGTTCCACATACAAGCACCTGTAGAGTAACAATATTTGTTATACAGTGTGTGACCAGCACCTGTATAATGTCCTTGTGTAAACAGAACAAAATCAGATATATTGCTTGCTCCCAATTGATAAAACTGTTCTTTTAACCGAATCAGTAAGATCCCATTCACACGGTGTTCCGTTCAGATATGCCTGTCATTTTTGTTATGCAGCTCTAAAGGGAAGCTCAATGTTAGTTTATTGATTATTTTCTATGTGCCCAGCAATGTATTTCCTTAAATTTATGTCCAAGCACTTCTAACCATGTTTCCAAACAGCTGGTTCCAACGCTCATCTCAGCTTCCCTGAACTTCCTGTCCAGTACAAGATCACAATGGACAGAGCTCCAGCAGCTGTCCATCTCTACTATCTTGGAGAAGGGAGGAAGGACAAGATTGGAGCAGGGGGATGGCTTGCCTTCCTGTGCCTGTATGTTTGTGGAGATACAACTTACTAGGACTCACAAGGGTGGCTCAATAGTACCCTGCAAGGGAAAGGAGCCACCCCAAAACAGGATATCAGGGCCAGTGCTCAGAGGACCAGCTGATTTTGCTGGAAACAAACTTTTACACATCAAGGAGCAGCATCCATTGTAAGTGATTTTATTAGCATTTGAAATAGCTTAAAAACCTTCTGACGTTGATATCGCTTAAAGGAATCTTCAGCTTTCTCCCCCATGAGTATTTGTAAGCAACTGTGATCCTTCCCTGCTGAGAATATGCTCCATTTAGGAGATGGAGAGCATGCTGGTTCAGAGATTGTTGGTTGGTGGTTGGAAAGTATACTGGAGAGTTCAGTTAAATTCAGCTAGAGCAAAAAGAGTCTCCATTCTATGTCACAGCAAGACAATCTGACATTATGGCGGTGAGAAGTCAGTCGTGTACCCAACACATACACAGAATGAAGAGTGGTAGATTGGGGTATGGAGCCAATGGAAATAGATTGCTTTATATAAATAGAAAATGCTGACCATGATGCCCCTGATGAGATCAACAGATGTGTTCTGTACTTGCTGAGAATGCTCTTAGCCTGAAAAAAGGAAACTAGTTCAGCCACCACATCTAAGGACTAATACGCTACTGTATAGTGTGGCACAGCTATATCCAATTCTGCATACCTGGCTTTATATTATAAGAACTTTATAATATAAAGCCAGTTATGCAGAATTGGATATAGCTGTGCCACACTACACAATAATACACTGTTCTGGGTTAGCCATTGCTAACTAAGGATACAAGCCTTAGTTAGCAATGGCATGATCTAAATATTCACTTCATTTCATTATTCAATGTCTTCTTTTTTTGTGTCTTCATGATCTAAATATTCACTTCATTTCATTATTCAATGTCTTCTTTTTTTATATTATAAATTTTATAATATTTTAAAAAAAGACATTGAATAATGAAATGAAAGCAAATACTTGGTTTTGCACCGATACCGATGCTTGTATCGGAGCATCCCTAGTTTATGAGTATAGGAGTGTATAGTGTGAAAGGCTCTGTCAGTGGAATGCAATCTGGACTGTGAACATCCAGGATCTGATGAGCTTAAACTGCTTTGCTGAGAAGGTGACTTACAGTTTCAGTTTGGCCATAGCCTTCATAGATGTCAAGTCCAGTGCTGGCTTTCCAACGCTCCATTACTTGGGGGTTGATGGGCTCTCCAGCACTTACACAGTGTTTGAGGCTCTTGAACTTATAACTGAAGAGAAATAAAAAATTAGGTTCTTGTTCAGGATTGTTCTATACTCTATATTTTTATCGTCTATGAAAATGTTTACAACAGAAAACATGTGGAACATTATTAATTGTTCCCTGTAATAACAAGAGTGCATTTTGTTGCACGTAATATGAAATATGCATTAAAATATGCAAAATTTGCTTTATAATGCAAACTTTCAGATAAATAACTTATGGTACAAGAAGAATGATGACTACTGTGTCACAGGCTTTTTTTAGGTTTGTTTTCCTTTATGTTCACCGGGAACTGGTAATGCTGCAAATAACATACTTTCTTCACCTTCATATCTACACTCATGATATCTATGAGCCATGGTTGTCACACAAGCTGGACTTGTCCGCCTTTGTTTATCCATTATATCATGGAATAATGGATCTAGTAGTTTACAAGGGTGATATAACATTGTTTATGCTGTCTTTTCAGTTCACAGGAAGTGACAAGGACACTGCATTTCCGGCAAGATCAACAGATATGTTCTATACTTGCCGAGAATGTTTTTAGCCTGAAAAAAGGAAACTAATTCAGCAACCACATCTAAGCTACAATATGTTACAACTTTTAGTTTAAGTTTCTTTTTAAAGATTTTAATACAGTGATCTGTGCACCCATTGTTTTTGTAAATAACCTTTTTGATATTATGACGCCGATGAACTAGTTTGCCCCACCGAGAGACAAACTGAGATGGTGAAACCCACTTGAGAGCAAGTTTTCTTTCATTACCAATATCAAGCTTATTGTCAGAGGCAAACTGGATTGTGGACCCTCTGTGCTGAACATTGGAAGAGTGTGGGCCCTAAAATGGGTTAGGGCGTAGAGTATCTTTACCAGAGTACTCTGCAAAGAATGTTGGACATTTCTGGTAGGTGTATCAAGTTGCGGCCTTCAGATACACCTGTGCAGATGGCAGCTGACGAAGGATAGAACTAGAACTTGGTACAATTTTAGAAATTGGGACAGGCCAAAGATCGGGACAGGCAGCAAACAAGTTAAGTCAAAACATAAGCCAAAGAAAGAGGAATGGAGGCGCCCAGGCACTAAAACTAGGTGGAGTCTTCGGCAAGGAGGTGGACCTATTGCTCAGGCAATGGGTGCTGGCCTGAGTACAGCTAAATAGTAAGGATGATTGGCAGGCTGGGTGGGAGCTGGCTGTTTAGTTGTTATATCAATCAGCAGATGGGATCCAGTGAAGCTTATCCCTCCTGATCCTCTGCAGCAAAAGGTAGGACAGATCACATAGTGAGAGAACAACCAGAAGCAGATCATCTTTCCCAGCGCACCTTCAGTGTCACCTATAACTCTACTTCCTCCACTGCTATTCCTCTATCTGTAGGGGTACCCCAAGGCTCTGTCCTGGGGCCCCTTTTGTTCTCCATCTATACCTCCTCCCAGTTGATAACCTCCCATGGCTTCCAATACCCTCTTTATGCCGATGACACTCACATTTATCTCTCCACCCCTCAGCTCACCCCTTCTATCTCCTCATGAATCACTAATCTACTCCCTGACATATCAACATGGATGTCACACCTCTCCCTCAAACTAAATCTGTCCAAAACTGAGCTTTAATATTTCCTCCTATCCGAGTCCGCTCCCCAGACATCTCCATCACAATCAACAGCACTACAATCAGCCCCTCCCATCAAGCCAGGGTGCTCAGTGTTATCTTTGAATCTGAGCTTTCCTTTCAGCCGCATATCCAATCAGTATCCAAATCTTGCCGACTCAACCTCCGTAATATTTCCAAAATGTGTCCCTTTTTAACAAATGACACCGCAAAGCTTCTAATTCACTCCCTTGTAGTATTTCGCCTCGACTACTGTGACTACCTCCTTGTTGGCCTACCACTAAATAGGCCATCCCCCTTCAGTCTATTGTGAACACTGCTGCGATACTCATCCACCTTAACAACCGATAAATGTCTGCCACTCCACCTCTGCCAATCGATCCACTGGCTCCCACTTTCCTAACGTATAAAATTCAAAATACTAACAATAACTTACAAAGCCATCTACAACTCTACCTCAACCTATATCACCCACCTCATCTCAAAATATCACCCAAACTGCCCCTGTCAATCCTCCCAAGACCTCCTGCTCTCTTGTCACCTCCTCGCGTGTTCGCCTCCAGGATTTTTCAAGAGTGTCTCCCATCCTCTGGAAACTCATCTCTTCAGGGAGGCCTATTCCACCTCAGTTCTTCCAATAAATCATCCCCAGCAGTTATTACCTTTTTTTTCACTTGCCCCTCCTATTAGATTGTAAGCTGCGCAAACTGTTGGAGCTATATAAATCCTGTATAATAATAATAATCTTTGCTGCTGATCTGTGACACTTATTTAGTGGCTTAGAAATCCTCTTGGTAGCCAAACCTACAGCATAGACCAAAATGAGTTGGGGGTAAAACAACCAATGCTAGAGATAAACAGGTAGTATAGGAGTTAAAATAGCAATAAAATGTTGATGGGACCGTTCTTGAGTTGGGTGCAGAGATTTTTCAGTGCACTTGAAAATATCTGTTTGATATGATTATGTTAGAACTTGCAGTCCCAGCGATCATAATGGGAATTAAAAGCAGTGCTGAAAGTTTGGTGACATATGACAATATATCTGTCTGTATTTAACCAGCTTGAGACAAAAGTCAAGTGGTGTGGAAGGTGTGTTGCATTGCCATTCCTTTGAACGGCACCCCAAACCCATCTCCAACCCAGAGTTCGATCGACCGCACCGGAATGTGCAGTACCGCAATGCCATTCTTTCCATTCCAGTGCTACTTCGGTCACGGCTTAATGACCAAGGACAAATGTGGGTCCTCAGGTTACACAGGTTGAGAACCAATGCTTTAAAACATATTTTTACCTAGAAAGGTTATGCAGCACCATCATACGATAAAGAGTTGGCGCTGAGCAGAATGTTGTGACAGGGTACTTGGCAAGTGTCTGTAAAAAGAGAAACATGTTTGTTGCCATCACATAGAGTTACTATTATAGCATATAAACTGTGTATATTATTATTTTTAGATTTAGTATGTAAATAAAAAAGTTACATTTCATTAGGGTGGGATGTACAGATGAATAAGCACATCTGCTTGTAAAGAATTATATAATTTATTTCCCTTACATTGGCAAAAGATTTATATTATAATTGGAAATGGCTAAATTAATTATTTTTTTTTTTTTAACTTCTGGCATCAGTTTATAGAGCAGTTTTAAATACCTGAACTTTAAGAGTTTACATTTTAAATTTGATATTATGGAACAATTACATTTTGTTTTTCAAAATATTTTATTTTGTTTTTTTATTAACTGTGCAAAAAAATACATTATAGCAAAAAGGCATACCACATTCATTTTATCAAGACAAGAAAAGTAAAGCAATTGGTATGACAATTTTGTTATTCTATTCAATGGTATCCATGTCCTTGGGGCTAGCGGGCTTTGTAAACGTTTTCTGATCTCTCTCACAAATCTGTGTTCCTACAATTGCGTGGATGTAATTATTTTTGTGTACTGTTTTAAAACTCTTTAATAAAAAACGTTCTTGTTGAAAAAAATACATAGATGAACTGTTTCATTTATGCAAAAGCAGCACTGTTTTGTAGGCTGCTATGTGCCAGTTTTGGAGTATGCAGAATAGAAAGAGACAGGTGTACAGGTCATCTGCCTTTAAGTATAACAAACATGGCTGACACGGGTACAGTTTGACGCAAAGGGCTCTTAAAAAAAAGGATATTAAAAAGGAACATGCCCATATAAAAAAAATATTGTTTTTGTGCTGCACAACTCAATGCACACAAGAGCATAGCGAAACATTTTATAAACTTTACATGCCCCAAGCTTTCTGGAGAATCCATGACATGTAAATGTACTTGTAGACCAAATGCTGTCTTGCTATGCATCCACAAGTCAACTACCTAATCAATATTATTATTATTATTAATAAAACTAACTGTTGTACAAATCTGCAAGTTAATACTGAGCAAACTTGCATGTTTGTACTTATGAAGAGAGGAGTGGGGAGCTCTGCGGGTTCCAGCCTGTCATGGGGAAAAACAATGCCAATTGGCCAGTAAACTCTAGCTTGGCCCATCAATTCTTTCCCTCAACAGGCCCATCTCAGAAAGCCTACATGAAAGTTCCCTGATAATAGTGTAAAAGGGCTGGATCAGATGAACATGAATAAACCTGCAAGCACAATAATTTAATTACAGCTGAAAATCATGGGCTATGTGACGTGTGTACAGAGTCTATGCAGACTTCACCTACTTTCACGCTTCAAAAATATGTATACTAATGATTTATAATATGAAATATAATTACTGTTCCATGTGACTACTCTCATTTGACTTACTTCCAGGATGACAGCTCCTTCGAATCTTGCCATGCTGTGGGCAAATACACATGAACCTTGAATCCAAGGAGAAAATACACTACTCCAAGCTGACTTTGCCCAGCCTGTATCTGATGCATTCCAAAACACATCTGAAGGCAACAAGTCCAGCCAATACCTACAAATGAAGGGCACTACTGTTTACTAATGTTATTGTAATATAGTTAGAATTCATTAAGGAAAAGTATGGTATAATTAACAAAGGACAAATACTCAAGCCATTGTTAACTATTTTTGCTTAGCTCAGTATTTAGCAAACTTCTATTTGTTGGTGTCATAATGCCCACAGGGCAACTTACAAAGGATCCTAGGTCTCACCGGGTGTCCAAGAGGCCCAGCTACAACTCTTTGCCCCTTCAGTAAAACCTTGGAAAAGCTGTAATCTTACTTGTCACTTCACAAGCAAGGATGCACATGTAGGCAGCTGATGTCAGACAGGGTGAAATGGGCCAGGGACAGCCCCTCTGCATTTTCTTGGAGCCGCAGCTGCCTAATGCACCCAGACTGACAGACCGGACCAGCAGATATACTGTATAAACATTACTATAATTCCATCTCCTGAATGCCTAAAACATCGCTAATAACTCCATTGGGAACCACTCCTTCTAAAATTGGTACTTGCCTGGCTGTCATGCTGACCTTCTTGCTTCAATACTTTGAATACGTGACCTGTAATAAGTAGGCAGGTTTGCAATGGCAGCCCTGTATGTCTCTAATGACAGATTTACTTTAAGTGAATATTTGTGAACAAAACTAGGTAGGGAGGAAAGGAACCAATGCAGGGGATGCTATAAATAACTGGTTACTATGCAGGCTTTCTGGTTTAAAAGTGTTTGAGAGATGAAAGTCTTTGCTAGGCCTAGAATGGTACAGTGTAATGGGAATACGAATTGAAAATGCATCAGGCAAATAAAATCACCAGAATTCAAATTTCTGGTGGATGGGCACTAAAAGATAAATAGGCAGGCACCTTTAGCATTAAAAAGTTGCCCTGAAGTGTACTCAGTATATTCTTATCAATTCTGTCAGGTAACTTGTTTACCTATTGGTACTTCTAATGTTATATTCACCTAATAGCAACAAAACTAAAAGACATATAGGGGTTGATTTACTAAGCACATAAACACGCCATGAACACGCCATGCAAAAACACGCCGACTGTGCGCGAATGCGCGCATATACGCTTGGCGCAGAAGCGTGATTCATGGAGTGTTTATGTGCATAACATAATGTTACCTACCTGGCATTAACGGTTAACCCAATAGGGTAGCTGCAGTGACTATGTTCCGTCATTTTTGGAGAACCTGTTGTTCCACTAGTGAAATAGATAGTCATTGGGTCAGTGCTCCTTGTCCTTACACAGGTTTGTTTGTCATTAGCTGCCCTGAAACCAGTTGAAAGAAACATTTATATCATAGTTTTATTGTATTACAGCAAAAAAAGGCTTATTAAAAACAAACTTACTGGAAGAGTGCTTGGAAACTCAGCCATCCCTCCCTTGGACATCCTGAAACCACCATTTTGTTTTTCAAACATGGTGCTTGTGCTGAAACACTGTCTATAACTGGTACCAAGGCATCATGAGCTACGATGCACTTTGCCTCTGATGATTGTAGTCTGTGTAGAATGTCTTTTGCTGTGAGCTGCGTTGTTCCAGGAATTAAAATGAGACCTGTAAGATAATCATCATTATCACCCCAAAAGTTCCATATTTATTATAATTATACTTACTGTGTATTCTTTGAAGAATAAGAATTTCCACAAAGGTATTTTGAGACCCCATCACACCGCTTCAGTAGCACATATGTGTAGGAATGAGTTTCAGGTTCGGGGCCACCATGAGTTTGTTCTGAACCCAAGTTGTTCATTGTTTAAAAAAAAGGGCAAACTAATATGACTGTTCACATCTACCAATTACCAATAATGCACTTCCTGGCCCCTGAGTTTAGAAGGGGGCTTAAATTGCAGCCTGCTTATGTAATGTTCATTGACAGCACAATATTTCCGTCTATTGTTTGTGAAATAATATGCACTAGTTTATATTTCTTGTTAAAACATGCCTTGTCTCTCCGTTTGAAATTGCGGCCTAACAAAGCTGTTTACATACTGTGCAATTTTTCTGGCTGTTGCCTGTGAACTATTTATTTTTCATTTGAATACCCTTTGAAACATCAGTGTCCACCTTTTACATTATGCTATCAATACCCTACCTTCACATTGTCAGAAGGGCCCAGGGATACATTAGAGACCATATTTAACAGCTGTTTTACATCAGGGGTGAGAAATCATGTGCAGATAATGCCAAGAGATCTCCTTGTTGCCCATTATCACCTTTGCAAGTCAGTGTCTGAGCTGGCATCCTTATCTTGCAAGGAACAAAATAAAGTTTACATTTTTGCATAGGGACAAGGTACAGCTTAGTCCTAGGGCTTGCTTTTTTTAAGGTAGTGCCCAGGTTGCATTGTGGTCTCTACTTGTGTTTTCCTCAACACAATAGGGATGCATTAAAACAAACAAAAATTAATTTAAAAAAAGTGAGAGAAAAAAATTAATATTTCAGTACAAAATACTGTTTAACCTTAGTATCGGAGCAATTTTTTTTTTTTCCACACGTGCTAAAATCTGAATTTTCGTATAGAAAATTACTTTAATCACTTGAAGACTTGGATGTCAAACACAATATAATACACATTTTTCTTTTGTAAAAAATATAGGATGGAGTCACGTCAAGTAAACAGATACCAAACATGTCACATGCTAAAATTGCATGCGCCTAATGGTGAAAGTGAAAAACTATGGTACTCAAAGTGCAATGATGAAAAACTATGTTACTCCAAATTGTCTATAGGCGACGCTTTAACAGCCTTTACCGCTCATCATTTTAGAGTTAACAGCAATTTAGACCCCTGATGTCTCCCTGCCCTACAATACAGACGATCAACCATAGGAATGTCCTTGATCACCTGTGTAGCCGACACTTCAGCCAGCTTCTGACAGTGCTGAAGCAGGAAGTGCTGGGAGAACATGCCTACAGGCACATGATTAAGAACCAAAAAAAAGCTTACTACCTCTGTAAAACCTATGCATCCTACTTTAGGCCTCGCAGACCTTATTTTTTTAATAAAATAATTTAGTAGATGTCATGGCAGCAGTGGCAAACGGGGCAACAAAATAGGAGGTGATTGGAGCAAACAAATGTTTGTGCAGAAGTGTGCAATGATGTGCCACACACAAAGAGCTATGCCTGCTTTAGCAACAAGTGCGAAACCAAGATTACCTTGTTCCCCGTTAACCTATGCCTACAAAACAGTGGATCCAGACACCATCAGGTAATGCGGGAGGAGTTAATCGTCCCCTTTAACCCCTTCGTGACGGGAGACGTACACTGTACGTCCAGCCACAAAGGGACCAAATGACTTGTCACGTACACTGTACGTGACCAGTTATTTGCTTCTTTAGAGGGCTGTTAAACGCTGAGAATCAGCTTTTAACATTCATTAATGGCTGCCCTTACTACAGAGGCATTACCAAATTTTGTTTTCCTTCTCACTACCAGCACCTCAAACCACCTCCTCCTCTTTACTGCTAGCACAGCAAGCCTCCATCTTGTACTTCACCTCTACCTTACAGGGATAGAGGCAGTAGGCAAATGATCCTGCTGTCCCTGAAACAGCAGCCGGGGCCTCCTCTTCCTCTTGCAGCCATGCCTCCAGTGCCAGGTCTGTTACACTATGCACTAAGCCACACGTTATGGACCAAAAATGATGGTTGAATACCTGCCACTTTGGTTCAGCACAGGCCATAAACTTTCAGGGAGGCCGGAATGGGAGTAGATATAAAGCTAGCAGTTTTGCAAATCTGGCATTAAGTTTCTATGCATGGTGGTGATTAGGGGACAATTTTTTTCTTACAATCCTAGCCAGTTGCTAGGTTAAGGATGCTGTTAAAGACAGCATGGTGGGGTTAGGAGGCATATGGCACGGTTCATGTTTATGCTGGGTCCTATTCAGTGTGGCCCCATGCTTTCCCACTTGATGTGCCATAATGTAAGCCTCACCTCCTTGTAAGACTTTCCTCGCTAATTCTTGAGGGTGCAGATGTTACAATGGATGCAAATAGAGAATCTTGTGGGGTGCGGGGAAAGGTGAAAAGTGATAAATGGAATGGATGAGGAGTGCGGCCTTTTGTTGCCGACCAGTATCATTAAGGTGCTACTCCCACCAAGTAACACCAATGGCTGGTACTTTGAACAATAAATGTGCTGGGGTTGAGGCCGCACATTTATGAAAAGCCTATAAAAAATGTAGGGCTATAAAATCCTAACCCGCTGGTATAGAAGCCCGACTCTCCTACATAAAATATTTCCCGATAGGTCCTCATCCTGCTGGAGGTGTCTGACCACAGAGGGCACTCTCCTGCATGTATGGTGGAGCTGTCCGCTATTGGTACTTTTCTGGACCCGGGTTTTCGACATTTACAACCAGGTAATGGCAACTGACCTAACAGCATCACCTAAAAAGGCCCTTCTCTCTATTCTTCCGGGCTCCATTGCTTCTGTCAAGAAGGACCTACTTCGTTTCTTTCTGGCTGCGGCACGCAATGTTGTCCCTCGCCATTGAAACACAGTAGTCATCCCGACTGTGCAGGAATGGATTGCAAAATTGTGTCTGATTATGCGCCTTGAAGAACTGACGGCTTAACTACATGAACGTCAGGCCCAATGTGCAGTCTTATGGGCCCCCCTGGATTTTGTATATGGGTACAGCAGCTTTCCTGGCCCTGTAATGAGCCGGGGTCTCTCCTGGTGGGGAGGGGGACTGACGCACTGCCGCTAATATAATTGTTTAATTTCACCGTGGTATTATCTGAGTTGTGGGCCTTCCCTCCCTTTTGTTTCTCCCTTACTGTTCACCCCCTTATGTCTCCCCTTCCCCGGTCTTGAGTTGTGTGTATACTTTTACCCCCTCTTCCCTACGTCTAATGTTGTCCAGTCCGACAGGATGCAACACGGCCATATCACCTCATACTATGCCTTCGGTAGGGAAGTACAGTACCCGAATTACAGCTTCTGCTCCTCACAATGTGATGATGCCTTGATGTCTAACACTGCTGCCAACGTGACTACTGGACGGCAGGAACTCTTATATGCATATCTTTTATATATATATATGTACAATGAGGAAATGTAAATGCACCCCGAGATACTGCATTGATAATAGGATGTGATTGCACTTTGTACTCCTCTACGTTTTGTACTTTGTATTTATGTACTTTCTGTATTGAAAAACCATAATAAAATCTTAATATTTAAAAAAAAGAATAAAGCACAAACACAAAAAAAGCACAAACACAAAAAAGGGTGAGACATAACTTTTTAGGCTTTGAACTAGCTAATTTAGCACCATTATTACCTATGTAACAAAACACTTTTCCAACAGTGCTTAGTACATGGAACTTAGAAACATGTTAACAAATTTTCCTGCCCATACACAACCATACTCTAATGTCCCTTTTTTGAAAGAAGCTAATTAACCTAGTAGTACATTTTTCGACCGTGAGAGGAAACTGAAGAAAAATCTTACAAACATGAAAGCCTATAAATGGCACGCAGCCGGTGTCTGTGGGGGAAATCAGGTCACAAGAACCGCAAAGCTAGAGGGCTAGTCACCATGCTGCTCATAATTAAAAAGTTCATAATCCCTACCTGACCTTAAATGTAATGCGAGCTTGAAAAATGTTTCATTGTTTGGTATAAAAAGAAAACATTTAATTTAATTTAAATTGGCCTTTTGTGTGTATACCAGTAATATCAAATTCCTTTGACAGCAGAGACTGATGATAAGCTTAAGAAAGGGGCTATATGTGCAAAAAACATATAACTGTGGAAGCAATGATAATAAAGATAAAGAAATGTTGTTTTATTCTGTAGAGAATGTAATGGGAACACACAGCTGTTAAATAAAGTGAAATAGAAATTGTGCTTTGGCCTCACTGACATCATGGTCCTAGGAGCAATTAAACCCCTTAACACCCATAGTGATAACCTAATGAAAATGGTTTAAAGTTCTTTGTACAGTAGCACTACGTATATCAGTTGAATAAAAGATTAACAAGAGATGTTCAATAGAAGTTATTAGTATAGAGCTATGGAAGTAACAACTAATGACCTGTTATTAAATGTGAGACCTAGAGCTGATATGCTCATCCTAATTAGTTATTCACTGAGGGCACATTTGCAGATAGAGATTTTTTGCACTGCTTTCTATTTACTTGTTCCAAGTCTGTTACTCTCCAGGTACTAAAACAAGTATACGAATAATGGCATTGGAACTTTTTTACCTTTAAAAAGTAATCAGTCCTTTTCTTTTATCCTAACAAGTTTAGTAAAACCAAAACCACAGAAATATTGCTCATCAAAGACTACTCGATGACAAGCAGTGCAATTAAAAAAATTCAAGGACCATAATGTACTAACCTGCTCTTAAACATGCAACATTGAGCAGCCACCATTCTGGTAACCGGGGCAAAATGACAATAACTCTGTCTCCTGCTTTCAGGTTACAGGCATCAGAAAGAATGCTAGCCACTTTTCTAGAGTGGAAGCCCAGCTCTTCAAAGCTCCACTTGACCTCTTTTCCATGACCGTCTATCCACCACAGAGCAGGGTTGGGCTTCTTAGTGCCATCCTGGGAAAGGAGTAGTGATATTTTTTAGAAAAGATAGGTGTCTGATGGAGGGACATCTGTGCCATAAAAATATACTTATAGGGCATAATGAACAGGTTACCTTTTCAGCAGCAGTCCACTTATCTAAGACATCACTTGCAAAGTTAAAATATTCTGGCACCTCAGGTTTATAAATCTGTTTAATATCCTCATAGTCTGTGAAGTTTTGAGGTGCAAAAAAAGTCTTGTCCTTGCTGAAAAATCTGCAACAAACTCTTGGTGCGAAATGGTAGGTGAATGGCTTGACTTTAAGAAGAATGTTCATTGTCAAAATTGCTTTGTCCAACCGTAAACCTATAGGGAAGAAAAAAATTATAATAATAAATAATAACATGAAACCATCATTCCTATGCTCAGTTCTATCCTTCCTACATATCCTTTATTCATTTAAACAAGAACCCAGGAGGTGAGAGAGAGGGAGAGCTAGATCTGCCCTCCCAGGGCTATCAGCAAAGTGATAAGGGGACTTGTGATAAGGGGATCTACCTATAGCAGCTGATATCAACAAGTATGCAGTATGGATGTGTGCATTGAGTTCTTACTTTAATTGCTCGGTCCCTACACACTGCTCTCAGCAATTTGGAAGTAGATGGGTTGTTCATGAAAAAAAGGCCAAATTATTCATTTAAATTGGCCCATTCACAACATCTGGCAAACATTTGCTAGCCCTAATAAATAACATTACAATTAGAGACTTTGGCAATATTTTACAGTAAATCTGTCACCCATCTGGGAAATTTAATCACAGCATATGATAAACAAATGCATAGGCAGAGGTTACCTAGCAGTTTTTTTTTTTATTGCTGCTTGAATCCCTGCTAAGGAGGTTCCCCTTTCTACCTGTGCGGTCAACGTAACAAGAAGTGAGGGGAAATCTTCCCAATGAGGATAAAAAGAACAATCAAAATTTGACAGTAATTCAGACCCTTCCCCAATCTAATCAAAACCAAAAAATTCTAAACGAAAATAAAAACAAATAAAATGTTTTGGCAGGTGTTCCACATTCACAGCTTTCACAGTTTTTCTAGTTCACTAGATCAGGCAGAGACTAGTTTATTTTTAATCTACTGGACACTTTTTAAAACTGATAATACATTGAGAGAATGTTTAACTTAGTTACATATTTAGCTTACAACTAGTTAGTTCATGTCACTTTTTCTCTTGAATTCTTTCTTGGCCTTTTCTTTTGCTTGGTGACATGAAATGGAATTTAGGTTTAAGAGCTTTACAAAAAAAAAAACAGTCCAGTGGATCAGTGTTATTGATTTTAACTGCATTTAGAAAAAGGTACAACATTTATGACTGAATGTTCAAATGTTACTGAACAATAATTTTTTTATACCTAGAAACAGGTAGAATTTGGCCACCTTACAAGGACTGGATATTATTCAAAAGTAGTCTTCATGACAAAATAAAATACTCTCAGGGCATGTTCACACCAATTGCGATGCGTTCCAGAGATGTAGCTGCTGTAACGCACCGCAATTGCTCACAAAACTTCCCCCCTGCGTTCTGGGGTTGGAGGGGACGTGGCGATGCATTGAAGTAAATGGCGCCGCAGCCATGCCCCCCCCCCCCCATGCCATTGACTTCAATGCACCGCCACGCCACCTCCCGCACCAGAACGCGGGGGAAGTTTTGTGAGCGAATGCGGTGCGTTCCAGCAGCTACCGCTCTGGAACGCACCGCAATTGGTGTGATCAAGCCCTTAGGGTTCTAAGCATTCCCCAGAAGGATAATGACATCACACACTGAAGTACTGAAGTCGGGGGGAAAGGTTATTCTTTTTACTAACTTTTTCCTCAGAATGTTATTGTTTTACCTTATTCTACATTTTATATGGAGGAGGACTCCTGACTCATTAAGTGGACCTTGCTTGTTAGTGCAAGGTCCACTTTATATTATTCAATGATAAAAGAGGCTCAGTGTGGCCATATGCCTTCTGCTGGATTTTTCATAGGAATAAATAGAAAACTCCAGTTTGAACTATAGAACCTTATAACTTAATAATGAAAAGGAAGGAAACAAATAAAAGAATCTCGTGGAAGGATTTTTCTACTGGGCTTTCTGATTGTTATAAGAAGGTTGGAAAAAATATTTTGCCTGCCATTGTTTCCCTACTAATTCATGGTGGTGACTTGTGAGCCTAGCTGCTCCATGCTTGCAAAGTAATGCTGGAATCATACAGATTCTGACGGCAGAAGAACATTAACCAGCTATGTTGTCAGCCGTCAAATCGCTCTCCAGGTGAAGGGTCCACAGGTGGAGGGGGGCAATGTACAACATAGGTGCCCATAGACTGAATTTTACACAAAGCATGTAGATATATTTGTTGCAGTGCTTTGACTCTGAACACACATGTGTAAACTGAGCAGTAAATGCAGCGTAAGTGCTGAACTCTACCCTGAGGGCAGTTGGATTGTGCATGCAGGTCCTCGCCTTTTATTTACTACACAGAAACAACACATTGAATTCCTGTCTTGTGAATACGGCTCCAGCTAGACATAAAGCTTGACTGTAAGCCCATTTTGTTTACACCCTTATAAACTGTATTAGATCTATTCAAGTTTGTTTTCATTCTTATTTCCCCAGAAGTACAAATCACATATTTCACCTTTCACAAGTTTAGAGTAGTCAGAACAACACAAGAAGATTGGTTGTTGTGGGTTCCAGTGCATTGCTCTTTGCATTGTTAAACATATTTTGTGTGGTGGTATTGTTCCCTGCTGATTACAGATCTCTGTCTGCATTTTATTACAGATTCCCGGAGCAATTAAAAGAAACATAAGCAACGTCTGAGATTCAAAGTTTAGAGAAAGCAGGTCACATAAATGTGAATACTCACAGAGCAGATGCCAGGATCATAGATATATGATCCGTCTTCACTTCCCTGACTCAGTTCAAAGTATGTTTGTGAATTGTCACTGTGGGAGAGGCCAGAGTAGAGCGCTCAGTTATAAACCAAGAGGAAGTATTATTAACTACATGCTTCATGTGCAAAGTGAAATGACTGCTAAAACCTAAGATTATGTTATGTATAGAGTAAAACCTATCTCTCTTTTATAGCCAAGTCATTAGGAACTATTCAGAATGGGAAAAGGAAAAATGTATTTGCTGGAAATGTGATTTGGGCTAAAGGTGTATATTAACCCCAAAAGGACCCTTTCGCTGCCAAGGCCTTTTTATTTCCAGTTTTTTGCACATATGATATAATCGACATTTTGCTGGCCCATAGAAATGACCTGGCAGCTGATTTTACAAAGGTAAACAGAGTTGTGGTGGCAGCTTCTGTTTACAGGGATGTTCTGCAAATGACGTACTACCGTGTTTCACCGAAAATAAGACACTGTCTTATACTTTTTTTGGCTCAAAAAAACACACTAGGTCTTATTTTCGGGGTAGGTCTTATTTTGTTTTTTTTAAATGTACAACAAACCACACTTATTCATGTACAAAAATATCAGGGGCGCCATACCTTTCCAAGAGCAATTTGCTAACTAATCGCTGGCCAGAATGAGCGAAGCGCACTTTCACTATTGGTTCCTCACAGGCGGAGTGCATTTGGCATCACTCCGTCTGTGACAGGAGCCGGCACTATAGAGGAGGCATCGGCTTATGCAGCTCTGCTCCCTGCGGTGCCACCTCGCTTCCTCTAGCGCTGGCTTCGTTGGTACCGCTGATTCTCTCCTGCGGCTCTTCAAATTCCCCCTTATGCCACCACCGACCCTGGGAATGGTCACAACTAGGTCTTATTTTCGGGGTAGGTCTTATATTTTAGCAATTCCCAAAAATAGTACTAGGTCTTATTTTCGGGGTAGGTCTTATTTTCGGGGAAACAGGGTATGTACGTCAGTGGTTGCGATAGAGTTAAGATACATGTAAATCCAAACTTATACCCAGAAGTGTCCTGAACTGAGTGTTACTCTAAGGATGTCAACAAAATCCCAGTGTCCTGCAGATTCTGGGCTCCCGGAGCTAAGTGCCAAAATGCGCTGTCATGGGATCACGCCCATGATGAGTTGCTAACTAGAGTGTGATCCTTGATTGGTGCAGGAGGAATGGGGAAAGAGATTCATTTGGGGAGGTAAAACAAGGCTGTGAAACAGTTATTACAGCCAGGCAAAACTACGGCTGGAAGCATCTAGCTGGCTAGACACACACAGATGGATACAAATCTTCCATACTGTCTGGTGTACCCTAAAAGGTTGGTTCACGCCAGCAGGGTTCAAATTACATTTTTTAGCAACTGATCATCACCAGTCACTGCTAGGGCAAATAGAAAACAACCGTTTTGCAATTTTTTCGCAGCGCACTAGATGGCACTGGAGGTCACCACATTGTAGCGCACTGTGCTACTGTGCATAAACATGAGTGGATTGTACACTCCAAATAAAGTAAGAAAAAGCCAAGCGTGAGATGCGCTGAAACAACACCCACCTTCGCCGAACCTCATTCAAAAATCAATAGGCCCTAAGGGTTGTGAAGCAGCAAGGTAATTCCTACATGCTTCTGATATTCGCCACGCTATCCTGTGAGCTGTAGTACTGGCACACTTTCACCTTGCCGACTGCCCACACACACCAGGCATATGACTTATGGTAGCTTGCCACTACCTGCAGTTTGTCAGCTGACTGGTTTGTTAGGAAACAATACACCAACCACCTGCCTAATATTGAGTAGGTTCCCCTTTTGCCTTCAAAACAGACCCGTCGAGGCATGCACTCCACTAGACCTCTGAAGGTATGCTGTGGTATCTGGCACCAAGCCCTCAGTAGCAGATCCGTTAAGTCCTGTAAGTTGTGAGATGGGGACTGCATGTTTTTCCAGCACATCCCACAGATGCTCGATTGGCTTGAGATCTGGAAAATTTGTGAGGCCAAGTCAACACCTCAAACTTGTTGTTGCGTTTCTGAAACCATTCTTGAACCATTTTTGCAGTGTGGTAGGGCACATTATCCTGCTGAAACATGCCACTGCCATCACGGAATACTGTTCCATGAAGGGGTGTACTTGGTCAGCAATAATGTTTAGGTAGGTGGTATGTGTCAAAGTAACATCTATATGAATGGCAGGACCCAAGATTTCCCAGCAGAACATTGCCCAAAGCATCTCACAGCCACTGCCGGCTTGCTTTTTTCCCATAGTGCATCCTGGTGCCATCTCTTCCCCAGGTAAGCGACACACACACCCAGCCATCCACATGATGTAAAAGATTTGATTCATCAGACCAGGCCACCTTCTTTCATTGCCCCGTGGTCCAGTTCTGATGCTCATGTGGCCATTG